AACGTAAACGCTAGCAAAATTGTTTTATTTCAGAGGGTTCTTCAAGGCAACACACCCGCCGCCTTGCAGAAGGCTCAGAAAAATACGGTGGAACAGCAAGGCATGCGGAACTCCCACGTGAGTAACACTTACTGTTTTATCTCCATGAATATATCGCAAATGCTGTAGGAAGTATTTCGACACTGTCTCATTTATTTGTTACTTTTTGTTCTAAATTTCAGATCAGAGATGCAGTTGCACTGATCAAATTTCTGGCAAAACTGGAGAAAGAAGTAAGTCTGTCGTTTGGTGCTTTTAACACTGTTCTTGTTATAATGTATGTGTAATAGTGTATATAGTTTACTGTCATACGACATAATACATGCATCAGTCTCGCGAATAGGTAAAGCGTACTCTGAAATAGTTTCTTAATCTTTAACCAGATAATTTTTCTTTCGTTACGTTTTATTTCATTAACAAACTTTCCATATTTCTGAGTTTTTGTTTGGAGATAAAGCGCGCTGCAGAATACATTTGCCTAAAATTACTTCCAAGGAGGAAAATTTGATTTTTGTTTTTAATCAATAATTTAAGCAAACTTGAGCATTAAGCAAGATGAAGTTTTGTTTTACAATTCAAAAGTTAAAGTTGATGGTAAAACATACATTTTCTCTCCAAAGTAAGGAGATTCGATAAGTACTCAGTATGCCACAAAGTTCGGTTCCGTTAAATCTTCAATTACTACAGCAAATCATATGCTGATATTATTAAAAAAATTGTTTTAAAAAGGTGAAAGAAAAAAAGCATTGGACAGAAGTGTCAGCTGCTGCAGATCTTAAACAGCACAGATTGTAAGTAACACACTTTGTGAAGGTAAATCGACATTACCACGCCATTACTACTTAAAATAAAGAGCGACCTACTAGTACTGTATTAGCAATATGTACACCATATGTGATGATGACTGGTCTGTCTCAAATTATGTATTCTTTAAATCAAAGTGTCTTACGGTACATATCCGTTAAACACATTGAGGAATCATGTCAGTTAAAACAGTGGTTCATGTAATATAACGACAAATGTTTGTGGGACGGTTTGAATACTACATGTACATTTGATTGTGTGCCAAAAGACATTTTAAGTGACCTTTCCATGGAAAGTTAAATCAATTTTTATTCTCAAACAGATTTTGATAAATTTACCTGCTTACATCTTTCCATAGACTAAGTGATTACTTTACCTTATTTGCAAAATCCGGCACTACAGTAACTGTCGAACCAACACCGGTTCGATTATTATGTACAATCCTCATATTTGATTATAAATGCGTAAAAGTACAGAAACATATTTTGAATGAATTACGAAATATTTTCGACGAACAACTGATCCAAGGATATAATTTGTAGTTAAAATATATTTTGGATTTACCGTATTTACCAGTGTAAGATTTCTGTGTTTTTCGCCAGTGCTGTAAAGGATAATCGCGGCCTCAGCTTCCCCACCATAGCGGGCTCCGGGTCAAATGGAGCAATTATCCACTACTTCCCCACCAATGACACGGACAAAGCTATCACCACCTCTGACATGTTCCTTCTAGACTCCGGTGGCCAGTACCTGTAAGTTCCATCGTAGCTAAATGCATATGCATCTCATAATAATTCCTTCATGTGCAGTGTACATATAAATCTTTTGAAAACTATTACTTTCTTCAGGCCTAGTACATGAAAATATCACTTTAGTCAGGCCTAGTAGATGAGTTAGCACCTTAGTCAGGCCTAGTACATGAATGTATCACCTTAGTCAGGCCTAGTACATGAAAGTATCAACTTAGTCAGGCCTAGTATATGAAATAGCACCTTAGTCAGGCCTAGTAAATGAAAGTAACACCTTAGTCAGGCCTAGTACATGGAAGTATCATTTTAACCAGGCCTAGAACCATAAAGTAATACTTGAGTCAGGCCTAGTACATGTACATATAAGTATGCCCTTAGTCAGGCCTAGTACATGAAAGTATCACGTTAGTCAGGCCTAGTACATGAAAGTATCAACTTAGTCATGCCTAGTATATAAAAGAATGACCTAAGTCAGGCCTAGTACATAAAAGTATCACTTTAGTCAGGCTTAGTACATGAAAGCATCAACTTTGTTAGGCCTAGTACATGAAAATATAACCTTAGTCAGGCCTAGTACATGAAAGTAATACTTTAGTCAGGCCTAGTACATGAAAGAATCACCTTAGTCATGCACAGTACATGAAAATATCACCTTAGTCAGGCCTAGTACATGAAAGTAATATTTTAGGCAGGCCTAGTACATGTACATATAAGTATGCCCCTAGTCAGGCCTAGTATATAAAAGTATCTCTTTAGTCAGGCCTAGTATATGAAAGTATAACTTTAGTCAGGTGTAGTACATAAAAGTAATACTTTAGGCAGGCTTAACTTAGTACATGAAAGAATCTTGTAGTACACGAAGGTATCACTTTAGTCAGGCATCGTAACGGAAATATCAACTAAGCAAGGAAGACTACAAGTAAAAAAGTATAAAAGTGAATATCATAAAATGTATTTGGTTAATCAGGAGGTCAAATCAGAACACTTTAAGCGCTAGGTTTTATATGATAATTTTTTATCTGAAGTTATCAATATATTTGTAAACTAAGTATACTGATTCATTGATATAGGGACGGTACCACAGACGTTACAAGAACACTTCATTTTGGAAATCCCACAGCATATGAAAAGGTAACAATCTGCTATCTAATGCTGCGTCTGTTTAATTTTCAGTAACGTTGCATTATCCTGTTTCGTCGTATCAAGCTTTATGTTATTTACATAATTTTTTCTAACGCCGTTTCTGGGCTCTACCAACAACTGACTTCCATTGGACTTCCTAGGCACATGCAACATTTTTTCAATCGAATTTTATCTGATGGAAAATGAGAATAAACGTGTTTCACCTAAAAAGTAAACATAACTAATGAGTATAAGACTGTTATATATATATATATAATTGACATCTTTAAGCATTAACAAAGAGTCCGTGTTATTTGGTTTGTATGTCTAAGCAAACGATTTGCTTTCGACTAAACATGCTGCAAACCATCGATATATCGATCAATTTCGAGTAATTTAGTATTATAGACCAAACTTGCTACACATCATCGATATGTCGAGAACTTTGGAGTAATTTAGAAATTCGAATTGACAACATAATCCATAGCGGCAATACAAAAATACACTGCCTAGTTCATGAATATTAATACGATTAGTCTAGGAGACCCACAATTATGAACCGCTTTCACAATCCCATGGCGTAACAAGGTCATTCTGAAAGTTTGGTATAGTGTCCGCCTTGATCACCAGAGAGAAATAAAGAATATTGTGTGGGTTGTTTTGAATTATTCAAACAAGTGTATGACAACTAAAGCATGTGTACAATATCATCCCTAGAGTAATTCTTCATGTTAACAGTTTGTAGACCTTCATAAGTTTTATTGATAATAAGTTTTATAGTTATATTCGAAAGGAAATGCATTAAGCCAAAATGGCGGACATCATACATATTTTTTAAAAAAGTCATAAATCAAATTTTTTTTTCAACGAGATGTCTTGTTCTTTGTAATCTTAAACGGTGTTTGTAAGTAATGATATTGTTTAAACGCAATGTTTTTGTACAGGTATTAGAAACAGTAGGTAAACGAGATTGAAGAAAACATGACTTCGTGAAGAATTTTTTTTGCGATTCACAGATGTTTCCTCAACACAGCTTGAAGCTCCATATATGTACATCGTTCTGATCATTCTGAAGCTATTTAACACTTTTGGTATAAATTTTACAGGAATGTTACACGCTAGTGTTAAAAGGTCATGTTAATTTGGCCGTTACAATTTGGCCATCTAATTTGTACGGTAAGTTCAGGGAGAACATATTTACATTACGGCTACCCGGAATCTCTCTGATTTTTTCCTTGTGTCACAGGCCTTGGTGGTGGTATATACCTGCCAGTTCATCTTGCTGCTAGTTTATGTACTATTATCCTACTTTATATACACGTGTTATTGCTCTATCCACCTTGCGAGTTATCGTGTACCCTATTGCTTTACATTTAACTTTTATTTAGGTTTATGTCTGATAAAATACCCGACAAAATAAGTTATCCAATACATTATTGATAGTAGCACTTACATATTAAAGCCTAATAGATAGTATACGTGAGGTAATACTATTTATACTAAGCAAAGTGTATCCATTTATTCTATAGCGACCATAAAGCAAAACATTCAAAACGCACTTAGCTTACACTGGATCACCACTTCCGTCATTTATGAGGGACTAGAAACCGTTCAGAGGATGATTTGTGAGTAAGTGTAAAGAAAACTGGATCTCTGTTGTACATGTAACACATGCCAAAGAGATATTGCAGTGAGAACATGAGAACCTGTACAGCGGATATGTTCATGTACCAGGATCTCACGGAGTACCGAGCCTCCAATCAACATCATACGCGTGGGTGATATATGTTTAGTTCTCTTCAGCTGGTTGTGTGTGCCTCTGTTTATTTATAGGAGTGTTACACTCGTGTTCTTATGGGTCATGTTGACTTTGCCGATGTCGTCTTCGTCGGGGGTAAACTTGGTGAGTCCATGATCTAGCGCATGGCTTGATTGCCCCCTCCCCCCTCCTCCCGTTAACTCCATGGTTTTTTTTAACTTTAATTACTTACTGAGAATGTTTAATATTAAGATATCTTTTCGCTCTAGGAATGCTATACCCGTGTCCTCATGGGTCACGTGGATTTAGCTGATTTTGTATTTACTGGAGGTCACCTAGGTGAGTCAGTGATGTTGTCATAACTTACAAGCACGCATACTAATATAGGATCGGTAGATCATTTATACTTAATTTGTGTACAACCTTGCCGGCAAAAACATTATATATAACGCTATGAAGTATTAGGTTAGTTTAAATACTCAGATTGTTTAGACTTTAGTTAGATCTCTGCATGTAAATGTAGGTGGTGTTTGATACTACACGATTTCATTTGTATGTTTTACTGCATCTTTATGTATGTTGCTATGTATGTGTGTGTTTGTCGTTTTGCATTTTAACTTCTTATTAGTGTAGTTTTCCCCATTAAAGTGCAAGTTGTACTTCATATATGTGTAAGCTACACTCTAAAGATAAACTATTGTTTGTTGCAGTATATGTACATGCACGTGATGCGTTGTCTGTTTTGTTTATCGCATTCCTTTGCAAAGAAGTAACCTGTCTAAACTTAACTCTAATCCAAACTCCTACAATGCTTCCCTGAGAAAAAGTACTCTAGTGCTTTCCAAAAGTAATTGTCCACTTTATAACAAACTGTATTGGTATGTAAGCCTGTGTCGAGTGTATTCCGTAATATTTTATAACATAAGTAATGAATATGAAACTAACAGAACATTTAAATTTATATTGCAAATTGCAGTGTAGTCAAGAAATTAAATAACCTCCCGTTGCATGTGACGTAATAGTACTGATTTAAGTCAGCTCCAAGATGAGCCATTTCATAAACAGTATTCGATTATAGGCGTATTTGGATTGAGATTATGACTATTTAGGCCAGGGAGGGTTTGATGATGATGATGAT